GATTCCATAAGGTAACTCAATAAGAACCTGATTGTAAATCCTTACTAAGATCCTGATATCCACGCTACGTTGCCTGACTTACTAGGACTCGATAGTATTATCTTATTGGAACCTGATGTCCAAATGAGGTTAACCTGACCAGGAGCATGGGATAAATTTCTAGTCGGGATCTATACGATAGTCTAATGTTAACGTTCTCTCACGTCGCCCAGTGCGCGACGCATTGTACACCTCTCGGTAATAAAACATCCGCAGCGGGGAGCGAGGGGAGGAAAGTAGGCGCGTGAAGATAGACGTGCCTTTCTTTCGTGAGCTATCGCTGCGTCAGACGTATCAGCATTCAGAGATGCGATACCGCGTGTTGCCGTCGGCAGTCTCTCTCTCTCTCTCTCTCTCTCTCTCTCTCTCTCTCTCTCTCTCTCTCTCTCTCTCTCTCTCTCTCTCTCTCTCTCTCTCTCTGAAGCGATAGATGTAATCGAGACGAAGCTTCAGCGATCAGGACCTCTTGCTTTCGATAGCTCGAGGGCAGGACGATGAACATCCCGTCCACGAAGTATTACGCTACTCGCCCGGCGGAACGAGACGAGATTGCTTGTTCTAGTTCCCAGCTATCGATACATGACGCGGTGGAGGGACAATGAGCGACTCGCGACGGGAATCCGTATTGATCTGATCCGATGTAAACATGTCGCGAGCAAACATCGCATAATCTCCTGTTAAATTTTGCCGCCGCGCGTTAAACATCGATTCCAACGGGATCTCGCGCGCGCGTCGCTATTTCCCGACATGCTTGAGCGATTTGTCCCGTCATCTCGCTCGATCATTCACACAGCGAGAACCGCCTCGGTCGGATTAACGCAGCATACGTTACAGCTCAGAAGATGACCGCCGCAACCGTATTGGTTTATCTCATGAGTCTTTCACAAGAAAGACACGGTGCGCGACTTTCCTAACCTTGACCTCGAGCATTTTTCCGATCGTACCCGCGGTTGAGGCCGCGAAAACGTGGCCGACGACGGTGTGATGCTTTCGTCATCCCGAAATCACCGAGAATTCACAAAATTCTGAGATACAGATTTGAAGATGCGCGCGACGCGCGCATGTTTCGATCCGTTCGCGGGGATTTACGGTCCGCTGCCGGGGAAAGGTCAGCCCTCGCGTGAGCGAGAGACGGGCTTCAGAGCCCTTCTGGGAAATGGAAATCGGAAATGAAGAGCCCCCGCCGTCCATCGTCCAGTTACGGATTCGTGCGTTGCGTCTCGGCCGTGCGCAAATTAATGAAGACGACGCGGATGGAAGACAGTAGCAGGCCGCGCGAACGGCGAGCCAATTAATTGGGGCGTGGATTGATTTAGCCCGTAATTAACAATCACCGGCTGCCGCACCGGCGCCCTTCCGCAGCGTCGAGAGGCGCGCTTCCTGCCCGCACGAGTTCGATAATAGAATCGCGAGTGCGATCACGCGCTACTCGTTACTCGCTAAAATCGCAAAAATCGTGCCCGCTCGCTCGCGGCGGCGTCTCATTCAGCGCGATGTTCCCTCAAAAGCCACATATACACGCTGGTGGTTGGGGCGATCTCGCGATTCGACTTCCAGAAAAGCGATTCTTGCAGACTGATCTTTCCGGAACGGAGAATCGATTTTCGATCCGCTTTATTCATCAATATTGCTTCGTTTAATAAAGAAAGAATTCAACTGAGGTCGACGTTTGAAAGGATCGAGCAGAAGAGAATCGATTTTTAGAGATCGATTCTCTGAAGATCGAATCGAGATCGCATCATTAATTAACTAGCACGCACAAACGGCGCGTCCAAGAAACGGCATTCGATTCAAGAATTCGAGAAATTAGTCGAACGCAATTTTGGCCGACGGTCACGATTGGATTTTCGACGAATTGCAGGTTCCAGATACATTTCTCACGCGAGTCGCCGAATTATCGGCCGATTTATCTCATCGGCGAGACCGCGCACCTATGGGAGAACACACATCGCGTTGAACACATCTAAAAAAAAATTACGGTAATTATGCATAAAAGAAGCCGCCCCTCCGATTTAATTTATTTTTAAATATGTTGTTGCGGAAGTCTTCCTGAGTCGTTTCATATACATTTATAACGGTCGAACACAAATAGCTTCGGAAATACAAGCTGAGAAGCAATGAAAGTAGTAAATATGAAAATTCATTTAAAGTAATGAATCACCGAAGCATACACACACACACACACACACACACACACACAGGGCCTTCAGCCCCCCACCCGCACCCCCCCATCGTCTGGTCGAACTTGCGTCACGTGGAAAATCGCAAACTCATGTGACACAGAACAATACGACTTTCCATATGAAGCGAGTTTCGTAGCGATAACCGCGTTTTTGGATGCAAAATGGCTGAAATCTTCCCAATTCCCAACGATAGTACCGAATAAAAAATCATCATTAAACATTTATTTTTATACTTGTTATTTCTATCCTTTCTCAACCTGTATCTCCGAAGCTATTTGCGTCCGACCCTTATATGTGCATACGAAACGACTCAGAAAGACTCCCCCGACAACATATCTAAAATTAAATTAAATCGAGGAGAAAGCCCCTTTTATGCATAAATACCAACCAAAATCGCTCTTCTGAAAATCGATCCCCGTCATTGATCGCGCGACTCGTATCTCAATTCAACGGTGCGACTCGACTCCGAATCAATCGTCGTCATCGTCGTCATCATCGAGTTGGCACTCGAGAGGACTCGCGCGGCGAGCAGCGCCGTCGCGTGTTTCGCGCGCGCTCGAGTTTTCAGCGCGTGACATCAGCGCGGATTTCATTAGTCACGGCGCGAGCGTGCGCGCCGTGTAATTGCCCGGTTGGATCGGCCGAGGGAACGATCGTTCCCAGAACGCGACTGCGAAACTCCGAGAGGCCGTGCTCGCCAAGCAGCCGGAATTTAATAAGCTTAACGAGAGAGACGCGAGATTTTTATCGCGACGTCGCCCGCGCGCCGCCGCCGCCGCGCGCCAATTCCTCTCCTCGTAAGCCGCGTTATTTCGCGCATCTCCGTCGCGTGCGCTGGTCCCTCCGCTCCGGCCCTCCCCCTCTCGTCCACGATGGACTCGCGTGTGCAAGACTCCGCGATGACCGCGTTCGCGGTCTCCTTTTCGCGACTGTCGAGAGAGACTCTCGCGAGAACTCGGCCGACGCCAAACGGATGTCACCGTAATCGCCGCGGTGTTCTCGCGTTATCATCATGTCAGGTTAATATCACGTCACAGGAGGCCGTCAGATGCCGCTAAACGACGACGACGACGACGACGACGACGACGACGACGACGACGACGACACATACACGTCTAAATTGCACGGTGAACATTGAAAACCACAGGCTCGACGCGAGCGAACTAGTTCGCCGCTAACGAGTTTTCTCGCGCTTGTGCGACGGCCCGCCGCCGAATTATAGATATTAATGCGCGATTATCAGATCCTTGTCGCGAAGCGCTCGCGGTGGTCGCCGCGTTTTCCGCGCGTCCTTCATCCCGAGCGGCCCGACCCCGCCCGAGGAAGCCGTCGTCGCGCGTCGTCTCAGGACGTAAGGCGCGCGCGCACTCCTGGTGTCACTCGTAAATGAAGCGGGCAAACTGAGAGGCATCCTTGAGGCACGCCGAAGGCGATCCACCGACGCCACTTAGCGTCCGATTGCATAGCCGATTCGTCGTGCCGACGTTGATTTGAATCGCAGAAGTACGCTCGGCGCGAGCGGACCCTCGAGAGACGCGCTCCGCCGATGGAAATTCAGGGGCTTCTGATCACTCGACGCGCGCGGCAAGCGAAATTGTTCATTAACGGGGTAAATTGACGCTCCCGCGGCCGAATCGTCGCGGCAGCCGGCGGGACGCGATCGTTTTCCGTGCGTCTGCTGCTTGCACGATGGCCGCGATGTGTCGGGGAAGAGCTTCCTCGCCCGTTCGCGTGGAGAACGATGCATGGAACGTTAAGTGAATAATTGAGGAATTGAAAATAAAGGAGAAGTGACTCGAGAGAGATGCCACACGGTGGCATCGCCCGAGAGACACCGTGAGACGCGATCGAAATCTCGCTCGTTATGTCAGTCTAATAAACGATTATGGCGCACATAAATCGCGCGAGGATCGATATACCGATGAGCGGCGGCGGCGTCGTCGTCGTCGTCGTCGTCGGCCGCCGTGGGCGCGCCGCTTCCTCCGTTTATATTGAAATGATCGCGCGCGCGCGATCGCGATGGGGAAGAAGAAGCGCAACCGTGCGCGCACAGACGCGCACTCAATGTTGGGAACCTAATGCGCTCCCTCGTAAACTCGCAATCAAGTGGGCAATCTCGAGTCGCCTCGAATATAAATTAGATCCCGCCGCTGTGCTGCTCCGCAGTCCCGACTGATTGCCGGCTTTTTATACTTTGCAATTTTTGCCCGCGCGCTAAGGCCTCAAGCATTAAGGCCGCTTGCCTGTCCCTTCGCGTGCGACGGCGTAATCATGTGATTAATAATCGCAGAATTGAAAGCAAACAAGTGACCGAAGTAAAAAAAAAAACGAAAAAAAAAAAAAACCCAGCAACCAAAGCAACTCGCGCGAACAAACGAGATGGATATAATTATATTTCTTTTGTACACTCCGTCGGGACACTTCCGTCGATAAAGCGATTATTATTATTATTATTATTATTATTATTATTATTATCGTCCGACGGACATGGAAATATAGCGAAGATATTTTTCCTGAATTTCGCGATACGCGCGTGAGAGAGCTCCGCCGAGACACCCGTGGGTGAAAGGTGACGGCGCGAGACACTTCGCGCGAGAGACAAAAGAAGAGGAAAAAAGAGAGAGAAAAAGAAAAAGAAAAAGAGAAAAAAGAACCAGGCGGCAGCAACCCGGCCAGGTTGGCTTTCGCCAGCCGAAATACCGCGTTGTTGCCCTTCGTCGTCCCAGACGGTCGTCTCTTTCTTTCCCAAGCGCGCTTTACCGCGTCGGTTTTCTTTACCTTCGCGAAAGTGCACCTTCCTGGGCGGTCGATGCCTCGTGTGCTCGTGGACGGGGAGGTCGTGCGGGCCGAGGTTCTCCCTCGACAACGAGCTCACCAGGATCCCCCTCAAGGTCGCGAGGGTGCTGCTGGGAATCTCTCTATTCATTTCGCCGGCTCCCATAATATCATCGGCTGCCCGCGCCGGCGCAACGTCTCACTTGGAAGGACGAACGGCGGCGACGGCGATTCTCGTCCGGCATGGCTTTTACGGCGCGGCCGTAGCGACGCGTTACGTCGTGTTACATCCTCACGCGGCGCTATGCGCGTCACGGGCGGACGTAAAACTCTCAACCGCGCCCGTACGTCGTTCACTCTCTGTCCTTCACTCCGGGGGGGGGGGAGGAGGGGAGATACGAGGGGGTGCTTCGACGAGACGCGAAGCGCCCGGTTCTCCCGAGTCTTGCCGAGTCCAATCGCTCGGCGAAATTACACTCCTCGCTCCGCTTTACGGCCGATAAACGTCGTGCCGCGAGTTAACGTGGTAATTCGCGCGAAAGGCTGATTAAAAGTTCACGCGTCGCGGACAACCGAAGGCGAAAGTATCGAAGCCGAGGAGAAGGTATCGCGAGAGGGGGAGAGAGAGAGAGAGAGAGGGAGGGTTTCACCGGTGTGTTCGCGTAATCGCCCGGCGCCGTTCTCCTCTTGCTCATTGAACTCGGCCGCGACGCCTGGACGGTGGAAATCATTAATTTCACGATCGAGACACGGGCTCGTGCATCTATCTTGAGAGAGGACAAATCGATTTCCGCGGCGAGAACGCGACGGTAGGTGTCGCGTATCGCCGACCGCGACGCGATACTCCGATCGATCCGCGCGGGGGAAGAAAAGCGCGCGCGCCGCGTGACGTCTCGAGATCGTGACTGCTTTTTACAAAGAGACTTGTCCGCGATCGCGCGTTGCGTCAGCGTGTAAATTTAATCGGCCGTTCTCGGCGGAAGATAACCTGCTCGCTCTGTCTCTCCCTCTCTCACTCCGTCCCTCGCGCGCGCGCGCGACTAAAGGTTGCGATCGCCGATCTCTCTCCGCGATAAATTTGGCTCGACGATGACCGAGGCCGATAGATCCTGATTCAGTGATACATAAATACCACGTCGATAAGCCTGCGCCGAGTGACGCGCGCGCGCGCGGCTGATTACTGATTTTCTCGGCTAATCGGCGCTCGCGATTGCACGACGCTTCCGAGAAAATTCATCGCAAATGACGGGATTTGTCTCGAGTGACCTCTGCGAGCAGGAATTCCGCAGGCGTTCTTATCGCGACGCTCCATCTGCCGACTCTATTCTGCCTCTGAGAATTGGAGTTCTTCAGCGGAGCTTTATCGCTAGTTGCTGCGATTGATACACATTGGTGATGGGACTGCGTGGAGAACAGATAAGCGTGTTAGCGCATCGCGTCTATAATCCTAAGCGTTCTATTTCGAGAGGCGGCACGTCCGAGAGGCGGAATTTCCGGAAATGTATCGCCGGACGATCGAATCTCTTAGTAATTTGCGCTCGGATTAAATGTCGAAAAGGTGAAACCTCGGCCGGCCTCCGTATCCCCCCGTCGATCAAATCTCCATGCGATTTGCATTCAGATTAAAAATTTCGTCGGAAAAGCGATTTTCCTGTAATTCCCTTTTCTCTCTTTCCCCCCCCCCTCTCTCTTTTTCTCTTTTTTTTTTCTCCCAGAGGACTTCTTACGTGTGCAAACGAACCGAATTCCGACCCACAACTACGGCATAATTTCCCCGCGCATGACGTTCTCGCGTAATTACGCGAGTCCTTTGCGAACGCGCCGCCGCCGCCGCCGTCGGCGCGGTAGCGGACTAACCGGTTAGAAAAATTTAATTAGCACCGGCGCGCAACTAGCGCGAGAGCGATCGCGTCGCGTCGCGTCGCGACCGATTCCCAAAGGCCCGTCGAAGCCGAGCGCACTCGTCGAAGCACCCGCTCGTCGCCGCGACGCGACGCGACGCGACGCGACGCGACCTCGAACATTTAGAAATCCCCCTTGCCGCATTACACCTTTCCTTTTCTGCCACCGGCAATCGCGCGCACTTTGGGGCTGCGGCGTGGCACGCAATGCGCCGCGGCTCCGTTGCATTCCACGTCGCACACACGACGCACACTCGGCGGAACGAAGCACCCGCGCACGCACTCTCACACTACTCACTCTCGGCGCACACCGGTTCGATCGGTCAATTATCGCGAATGATTAACTAATTAACCTCGCCCTTTTCCCTGCGTCTTCCTCCTCCTCCTCCTCCTCCGAGAGAGAGAGAGAGAGAGAGAGAGAGAGAGAGCGAGAGCGACTCCCAGTAGTCGAGGGAGCACTCACAGCACGCGCATCTTGCGAAAGTATCGATATGCGGGCGCCAGCGTAACGCGACGATTGTTTAACGAGCGTGAGCGTCCTCGTCGTCGTCGTCGAACATGCTCTCGAGTATGTGACTGACTCGCTGGAGGAGCTACAGGTTCCTCCGCGGCGCGAGTTCTCTTCTCTCTCTTTCTCTCCCTCTCTCTCTCTCTCTCTTTTCGCGCTCGTACTCCTCTCTCCCACTCGATGCGTCTTACTCCGCGATTACCACGCGGATAGGTGACTACCTTCGCTAAGGTAAGGTGCCTCGTACTCCCGTTTGTTGCCGCGATGGAGTGGGGAACGGACACCTGTATACCTGCCGATGCACGTCTCTCTCGCAAGACGGCCCGCAAGAGCGCCCCGCGATGAGAAATGGTCGCGAAGGCGAGTCGCGTAATAGTCGATCGAGATCTGCTACGGAGTCTTTCTCTCTCTCTCTCTCTCTCTCTCTCTCTCTCTCTCTCTCTCTCTCACTCTCTCTCTCTCTCTCTCTCTCTCTCTCACTCTCTCTCTCTCTCACTCTCTCTCTCGCTCGCTCCGTCGGCAGCCCCGCTTCCGTCGGAACCTGTTCCAACGAGTTGAATAACGTCGCGGTGACGTTGACTGTTTTAATTATTTCATTAGAGATCGATACGGTTACTTAAGCGCATGTGCGAAATATCGCGGAACTCTATTAACAAGTCATTACGTTATCTGCGATATGATAATCGAGGTATGCTAATGGTCTTGGACGAGCGAAACCGGCAGCGCCGGCCGTACTCGGTGTGTGACTCAATGAGTAGAGAAAAGTACAAGTATCTGCTCACAATGCAGAAGCGAGGGGGAGGGGTGTGAAGCTTCATACGTCACGTTTACTTCAGATTACTTCATACGACGTCATCTCGCAGTGCACGAGTATCGACGCGTAGGCGCACGAGTTTACGTGCTCGTGAGCAACTACGATTGTTCTTCACGCTATCGTACAACGTAGCCTGGGAAATTTTTATCTGCGCGCCGATGACTTTTCAAAAAGTGCCGGGGATAGTGATATTTCTCTTCAGCCAAGGACGTTATTAATTATTTTTACAAATATTCATTTACGGAAATGTCATGCCGCAAGAGTACTACGAGGGAGAAAATGGATTTCTCCACAGAGTATCATATTTTCAAATTTTACATTAATTACATTGCATTAATTATGTTTTTAAATTTTACATTAATTTCGTCCAAAGCGCGGACACCAGGATGAGCATTTAAACTCAACGCCGTTCCACGCATCACCTGCGACGTGCTTGTTTGTCTCCTGTTTCGCAATTTAGGGCCGGTCGTTCCAACTTCTTGTACGTTGTAAGTTAACTGATAGATAAATCATATGTGTCTGTCTTCGTTTAAATTGGAGGAAAAACAAAGATAAACGTATGATTTAATTGATAGTTAATAAGTTGGTTAACAAGAGATAGTCGGTAAGTTAGCTGATAGTTAAATCATACGTTTATCCTTGTTTTTCCTTTAATTTAGACAAAGACAGACATGTGATTTAATTATCAGTTAACTTACCAAGAAGTTGGAACAACCGGCCCTTAAGGGGACTGGAGGGTCAGATTACTGAAAAATCGTGCTTGTTTCCTGATAATATCTTGTGTGACGAACTGAATAAATGTGCAAGAATAAAAATGTTCGATATATTTATATAACATATGAAGAGTAGAAAAATTTTGTTTATTAACAAATATTCATATAAATATACGTCCACTTAAATTTTAAGCGCGTTTCTCTCGAAATTTTATTGTTCTGCTTTTTGCAGTGATTTCTCCGAAACTGAGCTTCGTATCGATTTGAAATTTTAAAGCAACAATATTTGTTCGTCCGGCTCTCAGGTGAACCATGGACAACTCCGTCCGAAATATTTCATTTCGAAATGTTAATTTTTTTATTGTAAAAGAACTGAAAATTTTGAATTTTTTCCTAATAATAGCTGCCATTTTGTTAATTTTGTTCGATTTTTTTTCTAACGGTTCACCGGATAATGATGAGCCTCCTTAAGATTTCTAGCTAAAATTCGCTCCGATCGGACCACCGAGAGCCGAGATATTACTTGCAAAAACAACTTGGAAAAAAAAAAAAAAAAAAGGAGAGTATATTTCAGCTATATATATATCGTATATTTATACGAGTATTTGTTAATAAACAAAATTTTTCTACTCTTCACGTGTTGTATAAATATACCTAAAATTTTCATTCTTGCACACTTATTCAGTTCCTCGCAAAATATTGTCAAAAACAAGCATGATTTTTCAGCAATCTGACCCTCCCTCCGGTCCCCTTAATGTACTCAAGTCTTTTTTCTGTACTCTTCATCCATCGCGAAGGCTGCGCGTCTCTCTGCTGGGCGACGGCCGCGTCAGCGCGGCTGTCTCTACTCGGCGGCGGCCGAGGCGCCGCGTCGGCGCTACTAGACGCGGCCGCGCTCAGGCGGCTGCATCTACTTAGCGACGGCCGTGCTCGGCGCGGCTGTATCTACTGCGCGGCGGTGTCTATCAGGGACGAGCGAAGTCTGCGCGGCCGCAATATCGCTGACAGCAAGACGACCGCAAATGCTACCACCGGCCGAGGTTCGTGGCTGGAAAAGACCGTTGCCGGTCGGAGTCGAAACCGGTGCAGCAAACTCGGCGAGAGTTGAAGTCGAACATCGTTGCATGCGACAACGATCCTTTCCGCGAATCAGCGCGGCACGCGATGATCGGGGCAAATAAAGTCTGTCGTCCATCGCATCGGAAACTGTACTCATCCGAATTAAGGTCGATTCACATTATACAGCACGGAGCGCGTACCGGCACCGACACGACAAAACTTTAAAACACGCGTTTCAATGAAACTATTCACCCTAACCGACACCGCGATCTGCACCGGGATTCCGTCAACGGGACGTACCGCCCGACATTCTCGCAAACAATATTTTGACGGTGCGTGTCGGTACGTCAGTCTGAATCAGAATAAGAAAGCGGTAGAAAACGAGCGCAGCAGAGGATGGAGCGGGAAAAATTAAGCGAAAATGTTAATATTCTGTCGGTGAAATTGCCTCACGGCACGATATATTTTGTTTCTGTAGTACAGGTTCGATAAATTTTAACAAATCATAAAATTTACACTGCGGCATTCTAAAATACTGACAAAACTTGTGTCGTCATATTTTAGTAAGTTTTTGAACAATGCTCTCCGATATTCTCCTTCAAAAGTTTTCTCTTCTTTAACATTGGATATACCCCCATTTTCGATTTCTTTTTCTTCATTCTTTTTTTTCAGTTCGGCTTCCTCTTCGTCTAAAGGTAAGGTTGAAAGAGCCAATTTATCATCGCTGGACGACCCATCCATTGTGACTGCAACGTCAATTGACGGACAGTTACCGGGACTGAACCGAGTCTGAACATACGCATTAATTTGTCGTAAAGTGTGAATCGACCTTTACACGTCTGAGGACGAGGCTGCCGTTGAGAGCAACTCGCTCGCGCTTATGACGACATAAGCCGTGACAAGTAACTCGTGTTCCGTCGAGACGGTAACGATTCCGCGATCGCGGAAGTGCGCGGCGACTGTCGTGCATGGCGGCTGTGCACGCGCGTGACGATGGGACGCGCGCGCGCGCGCGCTATTAACTGCTTTTTACCGGCGATGATAATAGGACTACGCGCCGTAAGGGAAGCGATAGTGAAAATACTTTCACGCCTAATTTGGGCCCGTCACGATACACGTAACGCTTTACTGCTTAGGATGCGAGTGCCAATGCCCTTCCTCGCTGCACTTTCACTGCACTCCGCCGTCATGTGTGTGTGTGTGTGTGTGTGTGTGTGTGTATGCGCGACGAGAGCGCATTCGCGAGCACTCGGCGAGGTAGAAGCGACGAATATTCATGAGATCAGCAGTCGTGCCAAAAATTCGACAATGAAGAGGACTGATTGAGAGTCAGCTGATCATCCGCCGACCGTCCGGTTATGGTCGCGTTTGAGTTTCTCTCAGCGAGCACAGCGGCATATAAACGGCGATCGGGGAATGACGAAAACGGCCTTAAAAGGCGACACTAGCGGACGTTCTCTCGATGAGTATCAACGCGCGCGCGCAAGAATCATACAAATTATCTCGGCGAGCGTTTTCCAGCCGATCTTTTGACTCGACTCCATCGATTCCACTGATCTCTGAGTAGTCCTCGCAGATACACCGTTCCCTAGTAATTTTTCCACTTCGGTAAACTGGCTACTTTCGTTAAACCTCACTTTCGCCCGCACATTTCTGAGAGATTACTTCGGTTAGGCACAATTCACGGGATCGGTGCAAGATTAACGGAGAACACCTCCTCCGTCCGAAGATTCAATCGCTAACTGATATTTCTAGGTCAAACGCGTGTCTTTTCAGGGTCGCGAGATGTCGATGGCATAATCTGCTCACGCTTCAGTGCCACCCATTTCCAGCATTGCGTCAATGTACCCGGCGGTATCTTTGTGATCGCGCGTACA